TAGGGCAAAAAAAATCATCTAGAAAGCCACAATTCAAAATCTAGATGGGACACAGAAGATGGTGCCAAAGGATCGTGCTTCGAAAGGTGTGTCGGCCGGCACAAAAAGCCACTTGGCATTCCCTCGGCTCCAATCGGCATTCATGCGCTTAAGTGATATTTTTTTCACGCTTATATTTCGCAAACACGCCGTGGAATACATAATAACAGTCGACGGCCAACAACCTGACACCGGTGTGGCTGTGCTCATAGCCTTCTCATATGATAAGCAGTCGGTGAAAGACGTGGTCATGTGCATCGCCCTGCCACAACAAGGGTTGCTTACAATTTCACTGGTTTTTACACGAATACACCGTTATCAATACAACAAAAAAAAGCACACATATATAGCCGCTTTGCATTCACCTTTTACTATCGCATTTTTGCTGCCGTTTCGTTCGTTTGTTTGTCGTCATGTGGTAGCACGGCAGGTGTTGCACAAATGAAAAAGCTTGTGAAAATCTTTTGAGAAGAACGATGTGTGAGTAAATGTCATAACGCTTAAACGTGTCGAAATTTCCAATTCGCCTTGCAACAACAACAACTACGCGTGATTTTGAAGTTGTTGAATATTTAGCGAAAGGAATACGAACGTGTGCGACCTTCGCTTTAAATCACAGCCTGGCGTATTTGCTTTTTAATAAATTCCATATTTTCAACAACTCATTAAAAGTTTGTTTGCTGTGATTTCAGCAAGTCTTCGTGGACATGTGTGTTTACACTCGAACATTTCGTCAGCACCGAATTTGGCATTGTCGTATGTCACATGTGTATGGTGTGTCACCAGCGCCTAACGCTTTGCCCTTTACTCTTGCAATTTCACGACAAATACAATTCAATCGAAAATCCAACCACTTACCGCCATCCACCGCAAGGAACACACTCATTTGTGCATATGCTTTCCTGTACACACACACACACATACACAGACGTACACATATGTGTGTGTGTGAGTGTATTTTACCCTTTAAAACGAGCGCTTGTCCGTCAGTTGGTGATATCCCTACGCTCGCCCGCCCAGCCACCCGTGTTTGCCGAAAGACAAACACAATTTCATGGCGGTAATCAATCTTCTTCTACGCACTGAACACTGACAGCTCAGTGGTGTAGAGTCAAATTGCGAGTCTTGTGCCACTTCCTAACATTCTGCGAGTACATAGTGCTGCCACGAGGGCACTACTTCCCTTGCAACTGACACGTACATGCATGTATGTACATGTGGCCATGTGTACGTATGTGTGCACTCTGGAATTTGTTCCGGAAAGGGATGTATTGTACAATGATGATCGGTGTCGCTTCTTGTCCCATTTATACGGATAGTTTAGTATCTATATGCACGAATCAATCTTGCGGTTAAAATGTGAGAACACTGCGAGAGATCTAGTTAGGTAATATGCAATAGGTAACTAAATCCTAACTAGTTCAAAATGCCTGGAAATATTGATAATTTGATGTTTTTATAATGCTCCAAAAGATTGGAATTAAGAAGCACACCTAATGTGAAATTCAAAATAAATAAAAAAAAATCATATTTCGATAGGTATACCTTTAAAAATAGCATATTAAATTTTTAAATCGATCGGTTTTTGAGTTACATTCTTCTAAACTGCTCAGTCACTTAGTTCAATCAGCTCCATCAGTTTATCTTTAAGAGAGTATTCTAGTGTTAAATTTAAAATTTTTTTCATATTTTCAAAATTTAACTATTTAAGAACATGTCTACTTAAGGATTTTTGAAAACTTAAATTATTTTCGAAGATATAGATATTTTACTGACCAATCATCGAACAAAAGACTTTACGTGAAGCTTTAAATGCGTTTTTCTCAGACCAGACTTTTTTAATACGATACCCGCGATTTCTCGATTTCTACTGGACCGATTTACTTGAAATTATTAGAGAATTTCTTTACAGACCTATCTCGAGTATGAACTAGCCTGATTCCCAAAATTAAGTTTTTACTATTTTTGAAATATACAAGAAAATAAAAAAATGGTTTAAAAAAAACGTTTTTTTTTTCAAACCGTCGCCATTTTGTCAAAAAATATAATCTTTTTATTTTTCATTTCAAATGACTAGGGGGGTTGAAATCATGGGTATGCTCATGATATCCTTTTTTTTACCACCATTAAGTCTACATTCATTTTCATTCATGTTCATAGTAATAAATATAATTATTTTTTATTTCATTATCAGTTTTAATAAAATTGTTATTGCAGTTATTTAAAATAATATAAAATACAGACCTGTTGCGACTGATATTACAAACAAAACATATATCATTCATATCGTAGAACAGAAAGCCACGAAAGGAACTGAAACATGAATCGATACAAATAGAGTTACTATTCTAAAATCAAAACTAGAGTTGTGTGATGAACCTTTTGGAAAATAGCACAGGTATAGATGATCACAAAATGTAAACAGTGAGAAATAAGATATAAAACTGTAAAGTATAGCTTGGTACTAGTTTCACCACAATGCTATTACTTTCGGACTACTCTTTAGCGACTATAAGTAAGTGTTGAATTACTAGTACACAAACCTCGACGGCATACGAACGTATTGTGTACATTCACTTTGTACATATTTTCGTAAAATAAAACATGCTATAGTATAGGTACTTATCCCTTTAATGAAATGTCAATTACGAGTGTTAATATTGTGGCAGACACTTCTTACAGGAAAGCATATAAGATTTTTGATAGAAACAATTTCCAATGTACCTTCTAACGTCTTCATATTGATTTACTCACCGTCTTACATTAGCAAACGACTTGGGCCAAGAAAAGATTGAATAAGCAGGAAAAGCAAAGTTTCAGAAAACATTTCTATAAAATAATACACAAAAGCACCCCTCTCACCTTTACTCCTGTGACGATTGATATCCTCGAGAGATTACACTTTTTCAGATATAAATAGAAATACTTATAAATAATATTTATAGAAATTTTGGTAAAAACTATAAAATATAAATAGTTTTCTACAATATTAAGTCACATTAGACATTAATACAATAACATTCCACTTTTTGTCTACCTCACTCATTTAAACACAGAGTTCTACCATACTTGTACATAGTAAGTATCTGTTATAAATAAAAATATGTCTACATGGTTTTCTTCAGAAAAAATACAGATTGCATATATGTATATACATATGTATGAGTATGGGAATTCTTGTGCATCTGCGTCAATACGCATAAATCGGTGTCATCAAATCATAAACTCATTTTGGCGACATCGCCATTTTGATATGAAACTCGATGAACAAATTCATAAGCGTTAATATTCACCATTAAGCTCAAAATTAGAGTTTCTTCAATCGGTTGATAACAGATTGCAGTGATTTGATGTCTATGCACCGCCAGATGTTGGCCATGAATCACAATTCATTCACTTTATGGGCTGAAATGGCAGGATATTAAGTTGTGATATTGTTAAAGTTTGCAATAAACTTTTTGTTGTCGCTTATATTATTATTATTTTTTGGCTAATATATAAGTGTATATATGTGCACATAAACATACATACACACACACCCACACTATCGCACTAACTGAGTTAAAGGGAAAACAAAGCTTTTTGAAAGACAGCTAACAAATAGTTAATGAAAGAAAAAAAACGAAATTAGGTGATTAAAAGCGAATCTAATTTATTGGAAACCATTGCAAGTCATTCAGTTGATTATGACTTTTGCTAGCAGGAAATAGAGAAAACTTTTCAACGTATTAACAATAAACATGTTTAGCGCATTTGCTCAATAAATGATAAACTGAAACTTCTATGAGCTAAAAAAAAATATTATAGGCAGCAATATACATTATTATGTGTACACGGTATACAGAGAAGTAGTTGTATGAGAGAGTAGCAAAGTCGAGTTAAAGAAAACTATAAGGTACTATATCGGTTGGTATAAGAGTTGAAAAAAATATTTTACGGAATGAAAACTTTTCACTTAGTAAAAAAATTGTCTTTATTTATCTTTAACTGTTATAACTTTAAATATAAGTGCCGTTTTGAAAAAAATATTTATTTTTACTAAAATAGTTTCATATACATTTTTAAATTCGTGGATCTTTCGAATGGAATGTCTGAGTCGAATATTTCAAAAATTTAAATAAAAGTATTGAATTGTGAATATTAAGTAATTAATTATACCCTGAACAGAGTATATTAAGTTTGCCACGAAGTTTGTAACACCCAGGAGGAAACGTCGGAGACCCTATAAAATATATATTATATATAAATGACCAGCATGATGAGCTGAGTTGATTTAGCCATGTCCGTCTGTCCGTCTGTCTGTATATATACAAACTAGTCCCTCAGCTATCGATCTGAAATTTTGCACCTGTCCTTTTCTCACAAAGAAGCTGCTCATTTGTCGGAACCACCGATATCGGACCACTATAGCATATAGCTGCCATACAAACTGAACAATCGGAATCAAGTGTTTGTATGGGAAACTCTTTCATTTGTCGAGGTATCTTCACGAAATTTGGCATGGATTATTATTTAAAGCAATAATCTAATCGCCGAAGAAATTGTATAGATGAGATGACTATGCCATGTAGCTGCCATATTAACTGAACGATCGGAGTAAAGTGCTTGCATTGAAAATTTTTTTATTTGACGAGGTATCTTCACGAAATTAGACACGAATTCTTGCTTAAGGCAAATTATTCTCCGCAGAAATTGGTCAGATCAAATCACTATATCATATAGCTGCCATACAAATTGAACGTTCGGAATCAAGTTTATGTAAGGGGCCTTTGTATTTGTGAAGGGTATTATAGCTTCGGCGCAACCGAAGTTAACGTTTTTTCTTGCTTTGATAAGTGTTTAAATGAGCTAAGCTTCCCTCTACATATACACCACTCTACCCGGGAAAAACTGGCACGCCCTAATGATAAGGATTAATAGCAAGGTACAAATAAATAACATAGACGGCTTAAAACTATTATTTTTAAATAAAAGAACATTTATTGTCACGTAACAATAACAGTAAGACATATGCTGTCGCGACATTTGTTGTAGATAATTATATGTTCTGCAACGTCGTAGTACATTATTTTGTTCTGCAATCAATAGTTTTAGCAGAGCACGCGATGTAAGGATTTTTTGAAGTCATATTTTACAGCTGGTGTTACATTATTGGCGTTTTATTATGGATACCCAACTTTTTTGAAAATATAACATAGCCTATGTTCACCGCAGATAATGTAACTTCCCAACGGTGATAGAGTTTTTCGTATCCGTCAAGTAGTTTCGAAACCTATTCAATTCAAACAAACAGACAATAAAATATTTGCTCTTGTTAATATTAGTATAGATATGGTTTAGTAAAAATAATGCATTATTTTTCCAAAAGATTGCTTTAGTAATTTGAAGTTAGACAGACAAGATTTCGTAAGAAAAAACTTTTCAGACAATTTTGTGATTACTTGACTCAGTATTGTTTGAGCACGTATCAAAGATGGACCCTAGTAAAGGAAAAATACACAATATTATACAGTTTTGCTTCTATTGTATAATGGCGAAATTGCAAGCCAGGGGGCTGAAAATATATTTATATCGGTGGTGTCTAATAGCTCTTAAAAACAGTGATTAGTTAAAGTTGAAAGGCAGGTCGAGGCGTTTAAAAAAACGCACATTTTTCAGCAATTGATCATTTTTGTTTTATAGTAATATTAGTACTTTTTAAAGCCCCAGATTAAGCGAAATCCTTTCAGCATCCATTTTCTTGAGTTCTAATTACAAACATTTCTATGGCCAATAGATTCGAATAACATGGTGGATGGAAGCACTTCGCATCCCAACTCTAGCAATTTTGTTATGATTTTCATTGTTTTGTGAGCTGGTGGATTGTAAGCATAGCATATACTCTGTGCACAAAGCTAACACCTACCCATTTTTATGATATTTTTAACACTTTGCTTTGATATTAAAGATATCAACTATCTCAATTAACTTGATTTTATGGACATCCAAAATACACTACCACTGCTTTCGCTGCCTTCTGTGCTCTCAAGATCCTTTGAAAATTCAGCAAGCGCCGAACAGCGCTCGGAGGACATTCATTAAGCAATTTTTTGTTATCAGCAGCATTTGGTTTCCCCAAAATAAGTTTTTTTTTCAATTTCGAAACTTACGTCACTCAAAATTATATATCCACGAACTTATTGTTCCACCTTATTGAAATTTGTAAACATCATATTTATGTGTGTTTTGAACGTTGATGGCCTTCTTCCTCAGAAACGTTAGGATAGATAACCTGTCTGGTATAATACATATTCAATATATGACTTTTTATATAGAAATAATTATTTACATATATAGATCTTTGGTACGTGTGCTTGTAATTTAAATCCTTCTAAACGGCTGGACCGATTCTGATGTGTATTCAAGGGGGTTTAAGAATGGTTTACATTCCTAATTCGATCAACTAGATAATGTTTTATAAACGAATTTTTTACAATAATACATTTAGACAACGAGAGGCGCATCAACGAGTGACCGATGCTCACAGACTAAATGAACGGCAGCGGGTGCAAAATCATCAAGCACTAGCACGAGTATCGCTTAATCGCCTTGCGTTTGAATATGACGCTGAAATATACTATTCATCACATTCGCTAATCATGATTGGTAGTATGGACAAAGAATGTCAATATTGTCATGCTTTCGAATGCAATAGTGAATCGGATGAATAGCCGGTTTATGTTGCGCATCTGAAAAAATTGCACTGCCATCACTAAATCAGCCATCAGAACCTTTGAAAACGCTATAAGCTGGAAACACATCTCAAGCAAAGTTGTTTTTGCGTAAAATTCGTAAATGTCGGGTCCCCTAGTTATATATATTATGGAAGTACATAATTTTATGTTAATAAATGCATAAATTATGTTAAGCAAGCTTTAGATCCTTGAAATCCTTTGATCTCCAAACTTGGCGCCGTTCTATAACAAACATTTAAACAAACAAAACAAACAGATTTAGAGCTCATAAAGTGCTAAAACAAATACAAAGCCTCTCAAATCGTTGCATTCGTCCTTCGAATTCTTTCATAAGGCTGACTTGTAGTAGAAGAGGTATTATATTTATTTGTTCTGAAAAACAAACTGTTAATAGACCTATGCAAACAAAGGCGCCGCATTGTTGCTCTTAAATATTTCAATCAATAACGAGTTGAGCCCATCGAAAATAATGCAAACATAGTGTGTGTGGTAGTGTGTGTGCGTGCAATGCAGAAAATTGCTACGTTTATTGTTGTTTTGTTTGCAGTTTGTACGACCTGCTACTGTCTCGTGTTACGCTACAACAACAGGTGTCAAAGATTTTGCGCCGATACTGAAACAAGTGAATTACTTAATGTTGAGCACGCGCGGCAGAGCTGCCACCTCTTCGAATAACATAAACAAATGTATGTAAAAACAGGCAGGTGTAGAAAAACTCTCTTATTTTGTATATGATCAGCAATAGTATTTTATATCAATCTACAAACACTCATAAATATGCATATTAATGATATTTTTTCGTCTCTTGTCCATTTTTTTCAGGTGGCAATCATAGACTAATTTTTTTCTTTTAATTTTCGTTTTCATTTTTTAGCTCATTGTCGCCTTTTATACATAGTCTTAGTCACCAAATGTGGTGCTTCGACCCGCCTACCTGTCCAGACGCGGATATTTCTGCAAATTCCTGAGCATTGCACATTTTTTATGCTGGCATTCGGGCGTAGCCTTCCTTTGGATTCGTCAAACAGTCGCGACTGCTTTTCACAGTTGTGCCATTGCGGTGGTGGCTTCATGCAGACAAGTCGAGACTTTGTTGCTAAGTCAAGCTTGAGCGCGACCAAAGAGATTTTCATTTACCTGTGGTTCCGTTTCTGTCGCCTGACGTTTTCTCTTTGTTTTGTGTGTTTTGTATGGCGGAGCGTGCGACTCGCCAAAGTGGTGCCAACCGCGATTAGGGAGTACAAACGCAAATCAGGTGTCCTTGTCGAGGCGACGTTTCTGTAACATTTTTATGCACACAAAAATTCTATTGAAGGTTTAACCTTCTAGCGCATGAAAATTAGGTTGATATCCACTATAGACTCAGACGTTGCTATAAAAGCAAGCAAATCTGCAGAGTTGCTTTAAACGCGATTTGAAAACTGCAGAGTAAACACTATATGAACAAGAGCGAAATGACTTCAACTGTGCAACAATTTCCAATATATTCCATCGACGTAGGAGTTCACAAGGGAATACCTTTCTACAATGTCGTAAGTAAAAACAACAAAATCCCTTTTATATATAATTTATTAATGTATTTAATCAAATAATTTATGACAACGCATTATCATTGCAGGCAACTTACCACACGAACAACAACAAACAAACAACTCCCATGCAACACAAATCATTGAGCAATAACTCTTACGATCAAGCAAGCTCAGCAGAAGATCAGCCAACATCATCCTCCACAGAAGGCAAACAGAAACGCTCACGTACCGCATTCACCAGAACTCAAATATTGGAGTTGGAATGTGAGTTCCAGAAAAATGTATATCTTTATCGTACACGCCGCATAGAAATCGCCAAGCGTTTGTCGCTCCGTGAGCGTCAGGTGAAAATATGGTTTCAAAATCGTCGCATGAAGCAAAAGAAGGATTCAAAACGTTCGCCTTATAATGAAAGACTCACGGTAAAAGATTCGCAAACATTGAGCGAACAGCTAGCGCACAGAGGAATAGTGCAACGACTTATGTCTTACTCCATGGATCCAGCGGTAAGACGACAGCAAAACTTCAGAAGTGCATCCTGCAACATAAACACATTGAACCCAGCTAAATCTACAAATATCGCTAAGCCTAAAACGCAAATTACATATACGGAAAGAGCAAGTGCGATACCGCCATCGATACCATCCCCTGATCTGGCAGAAATATTACAACAACTTAACCAAAGCACAGGCATGACACTGTCAACATCCACTAATGAAGTCGTTGCAAATCCAGCGTTGCCACCGAACACCCAAAATCTAGCTCGTGTTGACGATTGTACAGGAGATAACAAAATAGTGTCTTCAGAACCGATGTTATGCGAAAATATATCTGTTGCATGGTCTGCAACAGCTCAATCCATATCTACACCGAAGCCCTCAATGAATCTGTCGTGGTGCGAACCATTGAACTGGCTACTGGCAGAGAGTATTGAATATTAATTATGTATTATGAAATAATGAATACCACAAAATAATAATAATACACTATTTATTATGTTTTTAGCTAAAATACCAAACAAATTATTATTTAATCATAATAAAATATATAATGTATGTATGTATGTAATAATAATTTATTTTTAATAAGTAAGAATGTTAATATTAATTATTTTAACTTTCTTTACTCAAACTATAAATGTATGTATGTAAATAGTGTAAACGTGTATTATTAATTTTAATAGTATAACTAAATAATTCAAAAATAATAATAATAATAGATTCAATATAATATGATTTTAATATGACACCAAGACGAATAAACCACGGAATTCAAATTGACAATTTCAAATCAAGGTGTGTAATACATATACTTGTATATAAATATCGAAGGCAAAGAAAGTGAAAGTATAGAAAAATTAACTTGACGTTTTAACATTCAAAATCTAAAAGATATAGTGCAGCTGTACGAGAAATTGTATCATCAGCAGAGTTCCTTACACCATGCTGATGGCGCATGTATAAATCATTTTCAAACAGCGATCACAACTTCTTACAAAAATAATTAAGTTTCGGAAATCATTATTTTTTAGTTTGGTCAAAATTTATGTATCGGAACTGTCCTATATTATACAATATTTCAACGTTAAAAAATTTGTGCATATTTTCGGAAGGCATGTCAATAATCCTACAACTTTAGTTAACGTTGTGAGATTAGCAAAGTCGAATTGCATGATCATTTAGAATAACCAAGATAGTATATACACATATATGTTGAAAGAGTAAAAATGCTGATCTGATTCGCTTTAATCAGCTAAGTATATTTCCATATCGTTCAATTGCGTCAAACTAAATTAGTGTACAAAAGAAGCGGAAACCATACAAGAATAATAAATAAGATAACTAATAAAGAAGATATAAGCGCGTGAATAATCTTAGCCATGAAACAAATTGACTATTTTATACCAAGTCATTTCATAAACATCATGTTTTCCTCCGGAAGCAGCATTGACACTACCGGCCTAAGCAAACACTCGCATTTCGCGCCATCTGTATGTCAAGCGAAGTAACTGCTGGCGGATATTAAGCGTAGCGGAGCGTGTATTGGATATATGGTTGGTGCGTAAAATAAGAAATGTTTCCGGGACGTACAAGTGACATTTAAATATGTGATTAGAAGAATTTGTACACCATACAATAAAATTAAAATTTTTGAAGTTAGAAATCTTGGTCGAAATAAAATATTTGCCAACTTCTTAAACGCTAATGATTTGACTTATTTATCTAATCACTTGTTTTTTCACTTTCTAATCACTAATTTTTCTTGGGAACTTGTGTACTAAAGTGAGGTAAGGAATGTGACCAAATGTGTAAATTTCTATGATGTTTTTACGCAAATCTGCTCGTAAATATCTAGTAAAACAGACGTTTTTCTGTTCTGATCCAAAGGGTTATCTTTCTCTTGAGAACTATATTTAATTTAGAGCTATATGACCTGGCGGAAGAAAGCTACACTAATAATTGAAATTGTAAGAAAATAGAGACATTTCGAAAAACATGGAATTTGCCACGTACACATAAAATATACCGTTTTTTCCGTGTTATTAAAAAAGATACCACCCTAATGCTCATTTATATACGCACATATACAGTCATTCATACAAATACATATACTCACGAAATTGCATATATACATTTGTATGTATGTATCACCTTTAATACACACATATGTTATATGAAGGCCATATAAAAGAGTCAATAAGTCAGGACTGCGTTGGTATGAACTCAGCAGCAAACATTCAACCCTAACAGTTCCGTATGCTCCGTGGGTAAGCACAGAATTGCATTCACTACTCAGGGTCAGAAAGCAGCGAAACAGGATTTAAGTAATAAATTACAAAATTTGGCATTTTCAGTTTCAGATCCGCTTTTGACTGTGCTATGTTACATGCCATGGTCAGACTCTTCGAGTACGAAATGGATATCATAGTCAAACGGCTGCCAACTATAAACCGACAACAGTCAGCTCAGTAAAAAAGAAGATGCAGTGCAGTGTAAAGGACATTTTCATACAGCTTGCCAGCAATGCTTGATGGAAGGATAGATACAATATTTAAGGAGAATTACAGACTGCTCAAAAATAAATACACAGAACTCAATGCTTTCTTTACGGTTGACTTTGAGCTCAGGTGATATATTTTAAAAGTATGGTATATTATAATTCTAATAATCTTGGACTATCAAAAAAATCTTGAAGCATATAAAATTTTTAAGTTATTTATTTAACCCAAATAAACGGCTTTCAAAACTTAAAGTAAGCTTAACTTCGAATATTTTATTAAATCTTTGCTTTCTAATAGAACTTTATATGAAATCATTATATATATTGGTAACAATTCCAACAAGGACAAAGAAAAAAGCCAAGTACTGAGCATTGAAAGCCAAGTGCGTTTACACTCTACTGCCACTGCCAGAATATATATATATGCCTTACTCATTCCATAAATGTGTAAATACATTATTTTGCACACCCGGCAGGAAAAGAGAAAACTACTCTGCTACTACTTTGAAAACCGTCTATATTGAATGTTAACTAAACCGAAATTCCTTGACTATGCTTGCTCTTATAGAATTTAATTTTCATATTTTGAGCCAAGTATTTCAAAAAAGTTTCACTTCGAGGTAAACGTTTAACGAAATTTAGTAACAGAAATAAAAATATATAATAAAAAAAAAGAAAAAACGTTAACTTCGTTTGCATTGCAGGTATAATACTCCTTAGAAATAAAAAAGTTTTGAAGTTTTGATTTTGATTAATCAGTTTGTGTGGAAGCTGTATCCTATAGTGGTACAATATCGGTGGTTCCGACAAATGAGCAGCTTTTTGGGGAATGTGCTGAATTTCAGATTTATATCTTAAAAACTGCGAGACTAGTTCGCGTATATACAGAGAGACGGACTCATATCGTCACGCTAATAGTTTTTATAGTGTCTTCGACGTTTCCTTCTCGGTATTACTAACTTCGTGAAAAACTTGACATACCTGTACGGGGTATAGAAAAAAACAGTGCGATAATTTCGATAACAACAACCAAGAATATATCACTTACAAAATTCTCGTTTAGTTCCGACCAGCACATTACTCGAAGCAAATACGAACTATTATGTTTTCCTAAAGGATATGCTTTTTCATAGCAATGCATACGATACATACTTACATTTAAAATATACCGACGGAAATGTGTGTATACGAATACATTGGATGGTTTGCTTTTAATTCAGTTTGATGTCGAAAACATATCTGTGCACTCGATAAGCTCTTGTAAATCTAGATTCATGATGTACAAGAACAACTTTTACAGATTTAATATACCGAACTGAAATCGGTGCAAATGATGTCCGAAACCAGTTGAGCTTATTTTGGGTTTTTATTTAATAGATCACATGTATGTGGTATTATCCTGTCATATATACATACACATCACAGTGCGAGAATGGCAAAATCGGATAAGAACCACGCCTACTTTCCATAACACACAATTTTGAATTACATCTGACTCTTTCCAGTATACAAATCAAGTACCAATAAATATATCGGCATGAAACTTTGCACGAATAGTGCCTTTAATATGTGCCACTTGATGACCAAAAATTTTCAAAGCCGCACTACAAATATTCAAACCAACACATACCGAATATGTGGAGCCCAGTTCCTATTGCGAACTTTTTATCGAAAATATCGGTCAGTGGTATATCGGATATATTATAGGAATTCGGAGAATATAATATCGGCAAATATGTGAGTTTTCGTAATAAAATTGAGAGAGTGTGTTTTTCTAACAACGGTGCATCTTTTTGCCTAAAATGGATTAAACGGGTGAAAAATTGTCCTAGACATCCCAGTGACTTAATATATTGGTGATGCTGTGTGCGGTACCTTAATAAAACTCAGTAAACATATTTTTCTATTAATGATATGTAGTAATGCCAAAAATAGATAAAATCGCTTAATCCTAATACAAAATTTTCAAATTTCCAGTTGGCTTTACACCGTGTGTATCGGTCAATATGCAAGATATCTTAGTAAAATTAACTGAACGTATAATATTGAATGTACTACTGTTTAATGCCGAAAATATGTGAAATTGGTCCACAATTACCCCAATATACTATGATGATATTCCTTATTCTAACAAATCTTATGCCGAATATGTCGGTCAGTGTATGAGTCATTTGTATATTTATAAAATTGTTTGAATTGCCATTCTCTGGTTGCCGTTTTGCACCTGAAGGTGTTTTCTTGACTATGATCCTGGTAAGTAGCAAGAGTATGATATTTTCGGTTACACCCGAATTTAATTCTTCCTTACTTAATAAAGGTATAACCTATCGATATACGAAATATCGATTTTTTTGAATTTTACATTAAGTGTGCCGCTTAAGTAAAATATAATATAAATATTTTTCTCTACTGTGAGTAGATAGTTCTCACTATCATAGTGTGTGAGCAATCTGTAGGCTACCTGAAGCGCACTCTTTTAGTGCAGCTGAGAAGGTGATAAATCATTTAATGAATAGTGATTGCACGTCCCAAAAATTCGACGGACATTTATTTAACATTTCTTTGAGCTCCGGTGAGTATGAAAGTGTATTTACAATCTCCCGCATGGGTGTGTCGAATGATCATCATACATATATACATACATATACTATATACATATACACTTAGCATGATACCAGTAGAAGGAGCAAGCTGCTTCGCTGCTTGACGTAGAGTTCCCTAGAACACTTGTATTATATTATATCATAGTAATAGTTCGAAATCCAACAAGCTGTAGAAGAAATGTTTTAATTTCAGAATGTTCAGTCGAAAATTGATTATGTATCAGAAAAGTAGTCCGAGATGTTTACATGCAAAACCGAGTACCAACACCAACGAAACGAATTTACAATTAATTTACTCAGACAACAGAAAATGTCTTGGATTGCAACAAAAATAAATACAAAAGCAACACAAAGTCATATTTATTTACACACATATTGAAAATACTCATAAAACTTAGTAAAACTGCATGAGGAAGTGACAATCAAAACAAACTGGTTAACGAAATATCAGTCTCTGCACCAAAGACGAAACAAATAGAATGCGAGAAAATTCATTGATAAGAAAACGACAAAGACAAGGCAGTGGGGGTACAAGCTCCGTTGGGCGCTTGTGTGAGAGCGTCACTTAACATAAGAAAGCGGGCATACTCAGCCACTCAATCTCACAAGTGGGCTTCGCATACCGGCTAGACGTAAACCTCACATCAGCACGGAAAGCAGAGGCGTAGCGTGGAAGTTTTTGAATATATAATGTGTGTAAATATGTACACATAACCATGTATGGTATATGTGTGTATAGGCACATCAATAACTGTGTGTTTATTTATATATACGAATTCGGGCGATAGTGCGTTGTGTCTCATGCAAAAAAAAACCAAAAACAAAATGGAAGTATGCAGCAAATTAACGGCACAGGAGACGGAGGCGTGCGCAAAGCAGAGACACAAAGAGTGGCTCGACAATCTGGTCATGGTGCAGTCATTTTCGTTGCGCGTTGCGGTCAGTGATCAGTCAAGAATCGGAAGCGTTAAAGAACGCATCGTGCATTGTGGATGAGCGAGTTCAAGTGTTACTAAAAAAACAAAAACAATACAAGCGTGATAAATAAGAAAAACAACTTTTTTTTTATTTCTGTTAATTGAATTTTTGAAGATGAAGCCATTGGTTTCGGTAACATTATTGCTGGTAGCTATTTTGCTGCTCCTACCCAATGTATTATACGCCGAACAGCCAGTGATCAGTCACATCTCCAATGATGTTGTTGCAAATGTTGGCGAAGATGTACAGTTCAATTGCACGGTGGAGAATGTCGGTCGTATGTCCGTTAGCTGGGCGAAACGATCCGTTGTATTGTCCATGCGAAATATACTTAGCTTGAGTGATCCGCGTTACACGATTACCGAAACACGAGACGACGTAGCTGACAATGCGACATACTCGCTGAAGATAACGAAAATCGAAGCAAGTGACATGGGCCCCTACGAATGTCAAGTGATTGTATCCGCGACCGATAAGATCACAAAGAAATTGAACTTGTCCATCAAACATCCACCCATCATATCGGAAGAACGTACTCCAAAGTCCAAATTGGTGACCGAAGGACAAAATCTTGAAGTTAGCTGTTATGCAGAAGGTTTTCCACAACCAATCATCTATTGGAAGCGTGAAGGTAATGCGATTATGCCAGCCGGTGGACAAAAGCTAGCTGGACCTACATTGCGCATCAAAGAGGTGCATCAGCTTGATCGTGGCGCTTATTACTGTGTCGCGGACAATGGCGTAGGACAACCTGATGAACGTATGGTACTCATTGAAGTAGAATTTCGACCACAAATTTCTGTACTACGTCCTAAGGTTGCACAGATGCTATCACATGTCGCTGAATTGGAGTGCAATGTGCAAGCATATCCGGCGCCGGCAGTTTTCTGGCACCGCAATGGCGCCAAATTGGAATCGAGTTCACGATATGAGGTCTCCAATACGGCTTCGTCACATGAAACCACTACATCGGTATTACGTATAGCAAGTGTTGCCGAGCACGACTTTGGTGATTACTACTGCAATGCCACCAACAAATTAGGACACGCCGATGCGCGTCTACATCTGTTCCAGCCAGTAATTCCGGTGCCCTCCTCAGTTTGAGCGACGTTATAAGCTTTTTTTTTTTTGACTTTTTACAAATTTAAATTTTGCCCAGTGGCATCAAGCATGGAGCTCTGGGTGTATTCTTAATCTTATTATGTATTGTGCAGATTTGACTGGTGAATTTTTGTATACAAAAGACTATGTGTTTCTCTGTTTGTACGTTTTTTGACATTCTTCTTTGTTAGTTATTTTATTCAATTAAATTTGATTCACTCGTATAAATAATAAACACGCTTAATGCTTTTATATTCATTTAAATGAGAATTTTTTAAACTACAGATTGTGTTGAAAATCTATGCATGAGATAATTTTATAGAGTGTGGAGCCTAAACGTCCATTTTAGGGTATGCCAACGTTTTTTAGAATACGAATGATTAAAAGCATATAATTCGAGGTCAAATTAAGGGCTAAAGATTCCATGTTAAGTTTAGTTAAGTTTTGTTTTGAACAGCTTAAAGCGATGGAGAGGGATTTTAGGGATAATGGAACTACATTACATATCAAAATAGTTCATTGAAACTTGGTACACTTGTTCTCTATGCCTTATGGTGTGAGCGCTGTCTGCTGTTTCGTCCTCACAACAGCATTATAAAAAAGGTTTCAAGAAACTTTCAGTAGAACTTTTTATATAAATTGTCAGTATTACGGCGACCTTAATGTTTATTCAAACAGAGAGAGTCTACTACTTTAGGATTTGAATCCGATACATCAATGTAGGCACTGACTAAACCCAATCAGATTTAGAAGCAGTATGGCAAGGTAAAGAACTTTAGTAATATTATATGAAAATAAATTTTTTTATTATTTTTTCGAAGAAAATCAGTGAAACTGAACTATTGCAACGTAAACGTGTAGCAAAACGAAATTACATCACGCTTTTACGCAAAGTTTTAAAATTGAATGTCGAATTTATTAAGAAAGCTTACATTTTTTGAGAGAGATACGGTTATATAAAAATATTTCTTAAACTGACATATAAACGAACCACAATAAAGTGTATATAAACTTAAGAGGGTTTAGACAAAATATTTAAAATAAGTTAAAGCTCAAAAAGTTGTCACCTGTTTAAATGTTTTTTGAAAAATATCTATTAACAGAATCAGTGTTTAATACATCGCAAAGCAATTTTCTTCATCTTCTTAACATACTAGATGTTTCAAAGCTTCTAAGACAGACAAAAAAGACAACCTTTTTGGGAATTCAAAAAAATGCTAAAAGAATTTTAAGGTTATATTTATACATATTTTGAGAATCCACAGTAAAAGTTTTGAAGAAAAAAAGTAAATATTCTTAGATTTTCAAATCTTTGACGGCGCTAAAAAAGAGTCCTCCACTACTGCAGTGATTCTAATATTCTCCGTGGATGAAACCATACAATAATCTACAGTAAAAAAATTTTTTTAAATGACAATTACAAATAAAGAGTATTAGTCACAATTTTGGTCGTTTTTAGCCCGTCAAAATTCGGACCCATCAGTAAGAGAACTAAACATATATACAACATGTAAAAATTTATAGTGATGGCTAGTGTCTCCGAGTAAACACTCAAGCAAATTTGAAAACTGTAGTTTTAAGAAAAAACACGTTTAAAGATAAACTGATAGAGCTGATTAGTGGTACCACTTTAAAAGACTTAACCTCAAAAACTAATTGAGATATCGATTTAAAAGTAAGTATTTTATTTTATAAGGTATACCGTATCGTGATACGAAAAATTCGATTTTTTTAAAATTAACACAAGGTATGCACTTAAAACTGATTGAAAGTTATAGACGAATTTTTAGAAGGAGCTTTTAGATTTAGTAGTGTCCATCCACCGTCAGTCGATGTCTATATTATTTTAAACTTAACCTTAATACGATGATAAAAATATATACATAAGTACGTATAAACATATCTAGTATATGCAAATGGTTTATAAAACTGACTTTGACTGCTCACATTTTGTTAAGAAATCGAATATATAAATATTCCGGAAATGATCAGAAAATGCATAATTTCAATAGAAAACCGAAATGAAAACAAGTTCATAATATCAATCTAATAAAATTGATTACATATAGTGATATATACATATATACAAACATATATATGTATGTATGTATTGTAGCAACATATGTATGTGCAAGATTTTCGAAAAGTTATTCGAATTATTGTCTTGAATTTTCATATCAATTCGTATCAATTATCATTATTTGTTGTTTAACCATGTGATTTATTTTATTCATAATGATATCCATTCACATACACACAATACACACAAACAAATATGTGTATGTGTATGTGCAAATGTAAATGTCTGTGTGGAGGATACTCAATAAACAGCATCCTTTCAACGCGTTCACAGCTTTAAATGGCTGTCAAATCAAGTGATTGTGGACTTCGTCTGGGCGCGCCAATTGCCTCAGCAAGGACGACACGAATCGTTAAGGGGTGCGGTAGATAACAAAAGCTAAATACATATGCACCACAGAGTATAATATCTCGCTCACTTCGGCATGCAGAGGATTATCGATTTTTTTGAAAAATACCTTCCTCTCGTTGGTCGACACGCTATTGGAAACATTTTGCAGAAATGCAGGCTGTTACTGTTCATGAACAGAATACATCTACGTACATACATATGTATGTAGCTATATGTATAGTCACATTTTCTCACAATCGCACGTTCATTTCGCCTGCGATGGTGTGAAGCTGGCGTATTCTTGCCTCTGGCCACAGTTACACAAGGGTTGGTTTGTTTGAACGTGCCGGAACATTTGTAGAACTCGTTTCATCCCCTACTGCTTAGTACGCGTCTGAGAAACAAAAATAAAGATTTGGCTTTATGCATATTTTGTTTAAAAAAAAAAAACACTTTTATACGAATAATATAAGCGTCTGGTGTTTTGGTATTTTACTGAATGGCTGAAACAGAGAGTTTTGAAAACAAGTTTTTATATTTCAAAATTTTTAAAATCATAAATTAATATGGAAATCAAAAAAAAAAAGAATAATTATAATAATGTGAACTTGTTTTAAAATGCAAAAAATTGCAAAACAGTAAAAAATAAATATGCTATATATACTTTATAGGCATATCAATTATAAACCAAGAGTTTTAGTGAGTCAAGCAGAGCATTATTAAGTATAAATAATAAACCATCATATTTGACAAAACGAAAATAGATTTTAGTCAGTAAGCATAACTATCAACTCGGATTACGAAAATGTATATTTTATGTGCCTAAGTAACGTAAATATCAATAACAATAATTTAGGGACTACAACTTTATCAGTTGCTTGTTCCGAGTTTCGCTGCCAACTTTCAATATGCGTCTCGATGTACCATAAATATAAAAATATAGAGGCCTATGATAACAAATTTTCGAAATTTCGGTGTATTTTAATGAAGCGACAGGAGATACGAACACCCAACTTCAGGTTGCCGTTAGAGCCAAGCTTTCACAGAAATAACGCACGCCTAGTTTATTTAAACCTTTTTCCAGAGTTCCGATCTGAAACACAGGGCCTAGTGTTACAGCTTAAAGAATGACGATTTTTTGTAATTATAAAAACTACTAATATATCAATTGTTTTAAAATTTTAAGGTTGCATTTCTCAATAAATTAAGAATGCATTTTTGGAGTTACACGCGATTTCCAACGGCGCTAAAAAACAAGGTTCTCCACCATTAGTGATTCCGGTTAAGATAAACTGATTAAGCTAATTAAACGGAGCGGTTACATTTAGAAGGCTAGAACTCAAAAATTATTTCAGATTTTGTTTAAAATTTTTATTATGCTTTAGTTTTTAAAAGTATAATTTATCGAAATACGAAAAAAATTTTTTTGAAAATTTCACACCAAATGTGTGTATTAACAATCAAATCTTCACAAGGGGCTAAATGACCCCCTATGCTAATATTATATATATAAAAATACCAGTACGTTTAGTGTTAATAATCAAATCTTCAAAACCAAAATATATTTTTTGGCAAGGACAACTTTTTCTTCATAAGTACAGTTTTTAATTTAGTTAATATTTGTAATAATACAAAGGATTTTATATGTTATTTTCACTTTTTTGTGGGTTTGCGTAGTTATTGCTTAGTGGGGGGTCTTACATCAATGTAAAATTGTACGAAGAGAGATGTTAGTGGCTGGCAACTGACAACGAACTAATTTTTATTGAAAATACTTATGGATGCGAAATAGCTGTATTTGTATAATAAAATCGAATTCGGTCATTATTCGGATATATCCTAAGTTTTCAACTAAAGTTAGCTAAGAACTGATGAATATTCTTTAAAACTTAGTTTTTTTTTGGAATATAAGGATTTGTTTTACAAATATATTCAAGAACGTATTTCCGTAAAGAATCCAATGAACAGTAATCGAGACGCTTTTTTTAAATCAGACATATGGTACAATCGCGAAGGCGACACTGACACTGATTGTTCGGCTTAAATTGATTTGATAACGAACGATAGTAACATACTTTCACTTGACAAGGCCAAAAATGCTTAAAACAATTGGTTAAACCTAATACCGTTACCTCAGTTAACGGTTTTATGTAAAATATATTATCGGCACTTATTCCAACATAAAAATAATGAATTTCTTAAATAATAATTTTACTAATACTCGTAGACACCCTGTATGTGTAAATCCTTGACTTTTATATGTAAGTTCATATATGTATGTGTGCTGCGCATGCGCTACTAACCTGCGGTGCATAATGCGCCATTGTTGTAAAAATGGATGCTGGCATGCGATTCATTCACAAAACACTCCAGCGCTCAAGAGAGCATAATAATGAGCCGCTCCAATTTTGGCGAAAAAAATAATAAATTAACTATCGAATGTTTTTGTTCCAAGTGGAACCTGGAAAGTCTCGATTTGCTGGTGGTGCATTATCCGTGAGCATACCTACATAAATTCTAATGCAATTATACCTATGTATATATGTATGTGTAAGGTATATATAAAGGAATCTCTCTCGTAAACGAAAACTTCCACCTACCTTCACTGTTCCGTTGGATACTGCAATGGCGCTTTCAAGTTGGTAAGCTATAGACATGCTGCAGTCAATTTCTTTGCTCTATACAGACGCCAGAACTCAAACGTTGAGGGTTCCACAACTAAATACCACGGACAAAAACAATTCATTGCACGTTTACTTATGTGTTGGGTGTATTGTGAGGACTCGTTCCATGTCAGACAGTGTCGGAGAAGTGTTTAAACGCTGTGCTAGGCCTCTAACGGCTTGTCAGCAAT